GTTTTATACAACACCTTATAGGGCAAATTTTTAACTGTTGCATAAACGTTTATACAACTATTTTATATGGCATATTTGCACGTTAGTCAAAATGGTTGTGTTGTGGCATCCATGCTAACGTTTATAAAACAAACCCGAGCCTTGTTGTTTTGCCAACACATTGCTCCCAACGGAAGCACTTATACAACTGTTGTTTAGTAACTGTTAAAGGCTGTACATATGCTAAATATGTCGGTAAACAACTTCACCATAACCTAACTATCTGCTGTCATATTTTTGTAAAATGCTAAAATGCCATAATCAATGTTTTAAGACAAACAACGCATGCATATTGGTTCAAAAGGTTTTATCAACTGTTCAAACAGAAGATATAGATCTGGTACACATTCTGGGTAAATCATTCGACTCTGTCGGTATTTCATTTCAGACATTTGTCAAATTGTTGTATAACACCTGCAGGCCAGACCAAAATATTCTAATAACCTAAAGACAACATGGACGATGCCATGATTGTACACAACCACCCGCCATATTGGGCAAACATTTATTCCTCTATTTAATATTAAATAATTATGTTTCAGTTCGAAATTACAGATATAAAGTGATAAACATTAGTGTAATTGTGTCTAAATATAGGATTTGTGTACGATTTAACGCAGATAAGGTCGTTTTTCCATCTTAAAAATCTAGACATACTTTTGATCATTGTCAAAATATGAATCAAATACGAAGCCCGTAGAAATTGGGTAACTAATTTGCACGATAATCACAATAAAATTCGCTGCGCAAGTAATTCAATAGCCCTATCTCACAGTGTAGAAGTTTATCATATACCTGTGTATGAAATTCACAATGGCCGATATGTAAGTAAACAAGATGACAGTAATGTGTTAGTTATATATTCTTCACTTCGTCTATACAATACATAAGAAATAGTTTGGTTGCAATAAAGTAGAATCACGTAACAGAATAGTTGTATAGTTGACAACAACTGAATCTTGCACTGAAATGTCCTATAGCGGCTACAAGAGGCTTACACTTTTGTTTTATAACTTGTTCTGAGAGGGTTTTGCCAATGTTCTTACAGTAATGCTGTTTAAGAAATACTGTATAATCATTCTTGCAACCTAATAGGAGTGATAATTGTTAGTTGGGGGGTCCATGGACTTAGTGTTTATCATGGAAAAATGCAGTAGCAACATGTTGCATATAATTGCTATGAAAATTCCATAAATACTCTAGCTTACTGCAGAAGACGAGATAAAGTTTCACCCAAATCAAGCATTTGATATTTGCAAAAATATGCTGTAACCTTGGACATTTTTTATGATTGTGCTTTAATTTCTTCAAGAACATATCAGTCAGATTTGGGAAAAGCATAATTTCGTCCAAATCAAGCATTTGATATTGGCAGAAATATGTTGTAACCTTGGATATTTTTTATGATTGTGCTTTAATTTCTTCATGGGGAAAAATCATATGAGCCCAAACTCAGCTGATTGAACCTGCAATTTGTTTATTCACGTTATGTCGAGACCGATTAGTTACTTGGCTGAGTAATTTAATACTCGGCGAAACCGGGTACTCGGTAAACTCGGACGAGTATGTCGAGTACCGGGTACAAACCGAGTACCCGGTGCATCCGTATTAATTATACGTTAGAAATTGCCTCTAGCGATAAGTATTAGCTCGTGAGTCTGAGTCACAGAAAAATTAGTGGTCAATCAAATTAGCGGCTTTAATATCCTGGACTCAAAGCCAATTTAAAAATGAAACAAAAAATGTATAAAGTCTCCAAATTCAAACTCGCTGTGAAACATAATTGATTTTCTGTATTTTTATTCCTGGCTCCATTCAAATTGAAAAGTTTATCTGCCGATGCGCTGTCCTGTAGGAAAAGAAAACAGGAAATGATTCTTTCCAGATAACCATGCGGTTGCCAAGCTCGTAATTGACGTGGTGGTAAGACAGGAGACGGCATTCGCAACTCATTTCCTTACCAAGTCGTCGCCGACCAATTTTTTCCTCAAAAGGACCTTTATCATTTTTCTTCGTCGCACCTTGTTTTAATCGAGATAGCGAGTTAATATTTTATTTTACTGGAAATTGCCGCGGAAAAATTGCAGACGGAAATTGTTTTCGACAGAAGCCGAAGAAAATGCTTTCCAGATGTTCTGGAACAGACCCTTGACACTACAATCTTAAGGTACCGAATTGGAAAGAGTGGCCTTTTAATTTTTGTAATCATTACTACAAATAATATAATAAATTCATATATCGGGTGTAGAAATTTGATCCTCTGCATTGGGATCTCGGAAATGGTATAAGATACGAAGTCTCTTAACTGGGGCGCAGTTGTGTATTTAGGTAACTAACAAATCCAGCTTAGATAGTTTCGATATTCAAAAAACGGAAATTTCCCAAAATCGGTTTAATTTTTCCGTACACTATTAGTAGTGGGACATTAGCATTGCCACTTTTTCCCCTCTACAACATGGCATAATTAGGATTTCAATATCATATTTCTTGTTATCCAGCATCAACTTTATTTTTTCTCAAGGAGGCGATATGGGATTTTTGCACATTTGAATAGATTTAATTTTGATTCCAAAAAATGTATAATCTGTGATACATTGACATTGTCAAACCTAAGCTACTTCAAAAACAGAAGTTCCTAGGAACACCTTGAAATTGTCAGATAGTGTGTTTCATATACCAGATTTATCGCCCAATCATCTTTATTTTTTCTTGACTTTATTTAAAACGAGATTTTGGAACAAATTGCATTGCTATTGGCACGTTTTCTTCTCAACAAGGTGACGTAGATAAATTTTTAATTTGAGGTATCTTCTTTTGACTTCCATCACCAACTCTGTTTCTTCATGAGGACGTGATATTGGTATTTTGATCATATAAGTTGAGTTTTCAGTCCTAAATTTAATGTTGTATTGCCTTAGTTGGCCATTATTTTGTTGTTCTAACGAAACTAGAACGAAATGAAAAAGGAAGATCGATTTATGCACAGGAAGCATATGACAGTATGACCTTAAATTGAACCCAGTAACAGAGTTTGTAATACCAAGCAGAAGGGAAATAAACCAAGCAGTGAACAATGTACAGAGGACAGTCAGGTATTGCCCATAGAATTACGAACAACGTCTGCTATAATTTAACTGTACTTATTTATGATTATTGTTGTTACCGTCAATAGCATTTCTTTTTGTGTTTCACCATACATTTTGTTCTTTATACATAATTTACATTCGAAGAGAAAATTGCACATGAAAAAATAAAGTTGGTGATGGAAATCGAAAGAAGAAACCTTGAATTGAAAATTTGACAACGCCATCTTGTAGAGGAGGAAAATTGGTAAGAACAGTTAGAATTCCATCTCAAATAAAATCAGGAAAAAATGAAAATGAGTTTGCCATACAGCTCTATAATCTATATGAATTACTTTAACGGCTATTTTGATGCAATTTTTGCACACAGTATAGTAAAATCAAAATATGTTGTTGCATATGAAGATTTTGCAACGAGAAGTATAGGAACAAGCTGCTGTCCACCTGGCGGCCTCTCACCACTTCTTTGGAACCTTGTCCCAGACAGCCTACCTATCAGGCTCAATAGAGAAGGACTCTACAAAAAAGCTTATGAAGACGAGGTCGCATTACTGCTTAACGGTAAATTCGGAGGTACCGTCAGCGAACCGTGCACCACGAGCAGAATTACTCAGCTATCCTAGAGAGGAAGTAGCAGTTCACTGGGGGATACCCAGGAGAGTTGTGACAAGTTTTACATAAGGGGCTATATCTCGCTCAAGGAACATTCCACAGTTATGACTCATGTGAATTAATTTAGCGTCATTCCTTCTGTTTTCAAAACCATCACCAAAATTAATTAAAGTATTATAGTTTCTGAAAAAATCAACAAAATCAAAGACCACTCCTCCTATCACAACTCTCCTACCACCGAGGTAAGTTTTGACAGGTACCGAGGTTATTTGTGACAGCATTATATTTAATCTATTAGATATAAAGACATACCATTACACATAATATAAATAAATCAAGCACGTTTGTTGACCAAAACAGTGCTTTAATCATTTTTTAGTACCTACCAACTAAAACAACATAGTATTAACATTCTCATAGCAAGTAATTATAATCTTTTAATTAATTAAATATGGCAACGCTTTGAGATCAATCATATTATTATAATCAGTACAGGATCTTAATTTAATCAGATTCACAATTATGGCAAACAGCAGCGGTGGCCGCAGTAGTAGACTATTCGGTCTCCTGATCAGTCGCCGTGCGCTGTGCTGGTTCGAGTCCCGTCCCAGGAGAAATTTTTCTCTTGGCTATGGATGTTGTGATTGTCCGTAGGTAGTAGACAGTCTCTGATTGTCGAACGTGGAGGTACCACCCGGCGGATCTCGTAGGCGGAGCCAGAATGTGTGCATGTTGATGCACACGTGTTCCCTCGCCAGAGCCCGTGTGGCGTTCCCCCTTTCCCCGGTATCCCCCTATAGCCCCACGGTACCCAATGGGTGTTTCGGCCTTAGGCCTTCGTGGTAGTTAGAATATAAAAAAAATAATGCAGCTCGTCTCCGGTACAATCTACGTGTGCCCAGCCTTTGCATTCCAGGCTTTGAACCCACTGCTCATTCGATCTGATGTCTGCATAGGGTTCAAGGCAAACCAAACAAAAGCCATTACTTTCTGTTTCTTCTTCATCACTTGTTCTATTCTTCTTATTAGTCTTCTTTACTTTTTCAGGTTTCTTCTTTTCTTCGCTTAAAACACGCTTATTGACATTCTTAGACATCCTATTAGCCTCAATAGCAGCTATTTCATCCTTCGTGGGAGTGTCAGTAAGGACAGCAGATTAGATTCTACTTCGGTTTGGTTGGCTGTTTTTTCTTGGCGGGGCTCTTGGCAATGGTCTAACTGATTCCAGTGAAAACACATTAGAAACACTGGTAAGTGGACTAAGGGCTATAGATGTGGATGCAATTGATTCAATGATATTATTATTCAGAACTGATGTGTGCGCTGCAGATGTGGAGGCAACATATTCGTTGGCATTGTTGCTTACAACGGACAAATTGCTAGATGGCATGATTTGATCTGTAGATTTACCTGGAGTAATAGCTCTCGCTTCATCATTATCAACTGCGTCAGTGTTAAGATTTGGAGTTATAGTTCTTTTTGCTAGATTGTCCACAATTTCTGAAACCGGTAGCGACGATCGGTGACTTGACTTGGCAGAAATTCAGCTTCTCCAAATATGTCTTTCTCATTTTTCTGCCATGACTCTGAAATTTTTTTATTATATTTTTTGGCTAACTTATATGCAATGACTCTAGTTTCTTTCGAGGTCAGCCCATAATTAGATGCTGCTCATGTTAACAAATAGTCACTTAATATATTCTGTTCCGCTTCTGTAAAAATAGTCGGAATGGTATAACACATAGACGGAGCTTTGCCTTCTGGGTTTGCTTGATAAGTCTCTTTCTTCTTAATATATCTTGACAAAAACATATATACTGAGTAACATATAAATACAAACCAGTTTAAATGGTTTTATTTTAATAAAATTTTGTATAAGTACTTAATGAAGCATAATAAGTAAATGATAAGAAATTTCAAAATGATTGCACTGCTTTAAAGCCCTTTGACCTTTAATAATGTGTGGATGCACCCTGATGTGCTATGCATTCTCCAACGCGCCTAGGCATGCTTCTGATCAGGTGGTCAATGTCCTCCTATGGTATCTCATTCCAGGCAACCACCAACTCCTCTCGAAGTGCTTCTAGAGTCTGAGGAGGATGATGCAAATTGAGCAATCTCCTACCCATCATATCCCACATGTGCTCAATTGGGGATAAGTCGGGAGATCTTGGTGGCCATGGTAACAATGTGACATCGTTATGTTGAAAGAAGTCTAATGTGACTCTTGCAACATGTGGTCGGGCATTATCTTGATGGAAAGTTGGATCTGCCAGGGTGTCAAGATAGGGTAAAAGGTGGGGTTCTAGAACTTCGGGGATATAACGCTGCGCGTTCATGTTACCTCTGATGAAGATTCAAGGTGACCTGGAACCATAAGCTATGGCACCCCAAACTATAACTCCAACAGTGTGATGAACATGTCTTTCAACAAAAAACTGTGGATTCCTCCTTTCACCACGTCGCCTTCTAACCCTGGCACGACCATCGTGCATGCCTAAACAAAATCGAGACTCGTCACTAAAGACAATACTGTACCATTCCTGATCCCAGAGTGACCGTTGTCTGCACCACTCAAGGCGATTACGTCGGCGTTCTCGAGTTAAAGGGAGGACCCAGTGTGGCCGGGAAGAAAACAAGCCAAAACCTCATTCGTCGGTAAACACTTCGCATGCCAATAGGTCTTCCGTGTTCTGCAAACCATTCATTTGCAATTTACCTGGTAGTGGAGAAACGGTCCCTTAAGGCCAATAATCTTAGGCGGCGATCTTCACGGTCTGTTGTTCTACGGCGGCGTCCAGTGCCCCTTGCTCTTTGCGTACGCCCTTCTCGAAGCCATGCCTGACAACACCTAACCACAGTGTCTACACTTCTTTGCACTCTAACTGCAATTGCCGGAAAAGAAAGTCCAGCTTCCCGAAGTCCCACTATACGGCCCCTATCAAACTCACTAAGTTGACGAAATCGTACAGGTCTCCATACTCTAGGCATCGTAACCGATCGTAAAGGATGTCAAGAATCAAAATCCGCCAACGTTGATTCTTTACTGCGGCTGAAATATTCATTTTTAGAGCGTTAGTGAATTTAAAAAAAGCAGTATAAAAACCGGAATGTCCAACTGATAAGGCTGAAAATTTTTTCACTTGTTATTTACAGTAAGATAAATACATTCACCAACTTTTATTAAAATAAAACCATTTAAACTGGGTGTTCGGATTTATGTCACTTAGTATAGTTTAGACTGTAAGAGGCCGCAGCATTTCTTAAACTTTTACCTCTCAACCTAAGCTCTCCAAAGGCCAGATCGTAGATTTCGACACTAGCAGTTCCTCTATCAGTCTTTCGTGTATACTTATTTGGCATTCTGAAACAATTAAGTATGTATTATGCAATTATATACGTTAAGTAGTTACTAACACACCAACAATCATTTAAAATTAATAAAAAACATTGCGGAAATAGCCCAGCAGAGAAATGGAGTAAGATAGGAGAGTTGTGACAGACTGTCACAACTCGCCTAGATGTTCAATATGACGACTTGGTCTGAATAATAATTCATATTTTCTAAGCACGATGCGCACACAAAAAATCAGTGCAACGCTTTGAGACTTGAATAACTATACAACTTGAGAAAAAATAACACATCAATGCACATATGCTAAGACATGATATGTTACACAAATAAAGTTTTGAAGAAAAACTTACTTTTCGCATTTTTTTGTACACTGACGATACATTTACGCAACCACGCCTCGTGCGCCGCCGGCCTGTACTTAGTCGAGTAGCATGTATCGAGAGCGACAAACAAGCGTTGTTGCCTGCTCGCTAACTACAGGGTGCGGCAGAGAGGACGGACGTTTTTGGGATGGGTAGTACTCTCCTCCACCGTCTACGAGAGAGGTGGGGAGGGTGCCGTTTGACTCGTGAGATCCTAGCATTATTTTACCAGTTGTCGTATGGACCACGAGTTCCGAGCTAGCAGCCGTTGCGAGTGTATACTTGCACGACTGCGACCCACCCGGACATATTGAGCAATCTTATTGCAATTTTCATTGCGATAGATTGGTTGTTTGCCATCTATGATGGCAAAAATTGAGAAGCTGGTTAACCAGCTGAAAGAAAAGAAGGATGCTTTCGCCATGCTGGAAGAGCAGATGCGAAATCTGCAAGAAGCCTTCTTGCAGGCCAGACAGGAGATCGAGGACCTGAGCGGGAAGCTCCGCAAGGCCAAGAAGAAGGCCGCGAAGAAGACAGGAGAAGAGGAGGAAGAGGACCACCAAGCTACGTCGGACGAGATGGACGCCCAAGAAGAGAGCACTCAACGAAACGAAGGAATGGAAGAAGCCGAGAAGAGGACGGACGACACCGATTTCAGTGTCGCCACCAGACGGAGGAAGCGGGTGCGAGTTTCCTCCTCCGAAGAAGAAGAAGAACCCAGGCAGCCAAAGATGCCAGCTGCCACCAAGAAGAGAGGTCCTAGAGCAACCAGGACCACCGAGGTCCCCATGGCAGGAACAGGAGTTCCGCCAATCAACATCGAGGGCACCGCTGATTGGTCATCCTTGAGTAGGATGATGAACAGCAAGGGGATTCAATTCTCCAAAGCGAGGACGGCGGGTACCAGTGTGAAGGTATTCACAAATACACCAGCTGACTACCGTCAGCTAGTCGCACTGCTGGAATCCATCAAGCGGCCCTTCTTCACCTATCAACTGAAGGAGGACAGGATGGACCAGAGGGTCATTCGTGGGCTACCCAGAGAGATGTCAGTCAATGACATCAAAGAGGATCTAGTGAGCCAAGGCATCGCAGACGCCGAGGTTCAGCAGATGACCTCAAGGACCACAAAGAAGCCACTTCCGCTCTTCCTCGTCAAGACGAAGATGCCGGAAAAGCTTGCAGAGATCCAGAGGCTGGCCATGCTCACGGTCAGCTTCGAGAGGAAGAAAAAGTCTTCCGAGCCCAGCCAATGTTACCGCTGCCAGCGGTACGGGCACACACAGCGGAACTGTCGTCTCGCTGAACGGTGCGTTAAGTGTGGAGAGGACCACAACAGCACCAGCTGCAGTCTGCCAGCGCCGCCAACAGGGCAACGAAACGCCAAATGTTGCCTCTGTGGAGAAGGCCACCCCGCCAACTACAAGGGATGTAGTAAGGCGCCGAAGAAAGCTGCTTCTGCCCCCAAAGCAGTCCCCACCACAAATAGGACTTCTTACGCTCAAAAAGCGAAGAGGCCTATGTCCACTTCTGCCCCAGCAGCCGCCACTGCTACTGGAACTACTGCGCAGAAGCAACACGGCGATGACAGACTGCTAGCAATGATGCAAGCCATCATAACCCGCCTGGATGCACTCGAGGCCAAGATGCAAGACAAGCACTAGACCCGAAATGTCTACAGGTCAAAACGTAGAATCTCCACCTCTACCAACCATAGGTGATGGCCATCCAAGAAACGAAGTTGGATGCTGCCCATAGTCTGACGTTCCCGCGGTACGAGACGTACCGCTACGACAGAAGGGGCAGAGGTGGAGGAGTCGCCTTACTCGTCAAACGTACCTTGACGAGTCATGTCCTCGACGATGCCGCAGACATAAATGGGGACGGAATCACGGTCCAGGTCCATCACAACCACCGTCCCTACAGAATCACCTCCCTATATGCGCCACCAGGGGAGGCCCTAGACGAAGATGACATCGCTGATCTCCTGAGAGGCTCAGGAGCACGCATAGTCATCGGAGATCTAAACTGCAAGGCATGGAACAACAACGTCGAAGACAGGAATGCAAGGCAGCTCCAGGAACACGTCGATGCCCTGGCGGGGGTCATCGTCGGTCCGGAGCAACCAACCTACATTCCATTCGGCCTTGGGCGACCTGCGGTACTGGACATAGCCATCCTCCGCAACATCAGAGAGGAGTTCGAGATAGAGACCCTGGTGGAAGGATCGTCGGACCACAATCCGATTCTACTAACACTTGGCACAGGGTCTAGAACTCGAGATAGCTTGAGCACCAAACGGACGAACTGGAACCTGTACAAATCCAACGTCCAAAGGAACATCACTCAAATTCCAACCATCCGATCAGCGGAGGAACTGGACAACGCAGTAGAGGATCTGGAGAATGCTGTCCTGCGAGCGCACGAGGACAGCACCCGCTCCGAGACTACGGCAGTTCCTAGACACCTAAATGGTCCAGCACCGCACCATATTAGGCACCTGATCAGGGAGAACAGAAGACTCAAGCGAGAACATCTCCAGCTGTTGACAGAGGAGTCGAGAGTTGCGCGAAACAGAGCATCGTTAGCTCTGAAGAACGCACTCGCGGAACTCCAAAACAACAGATGGCATGCAGCCTGTGCAGAACTAGAGACACAGGATGGTACGGCCTGGTCTATGCAGCGAAAATTTCGTCGTCAGCGCACCACGATCCCCACTCTTCACGGCCAACGCGGCTTGGCCTACTCCAGTGAAGAAAAAGCCGAAGCATTCGCCGATTCGCTAGAATCCGAATGCAGACTGAATTACCATGAAGACGAGGACGACAACCACGAGGAGGCCGTGGAAGTCGCAGCTGAAAACATGAGGAGTCGACCACCTGGCCAGGAGACGGATCACCCCTCCAGTCCAGAGGAAATCCGTCTGATCATCCGCAGGTTGAAGGTCAGAAAGGCGCCGGGAAGGGACGGCATCAACAACAGGATGCTGAAGAACCTTCCCACCAAAGGCATTGCTGCGCTCACCAACATCGCCAATGCCACCCTGAGACTTAACCACTTCCCGCGGCGGTGGCGGGAAGCCCAGGTTATAATGCTCACCAAGCCAGGCAAGGACCGGAAGTTGCCCCAGAACTACCGGCCCATCAGCCTGGTTTCCTCGATGGGCAAAGTAGTCGAAAAGGCTATCGCCGTTCGACTAGAGAAGCAGGCAGAAGAACTGCAACTTCTCCCCCCAGAGCAATTCGGCTTCAGATCCTCGCACAACACGGAACTCCAAGCGCTACGACTGACAGAAAACATCACCAGCGGCTTCAATCTCCAGGAGGCAACCGGTCTCGTCCTGCTGGACGTGGAACGAGCCTTCGACCGAGTTTGGCACGATGGACTCATCGCCAAAATGGAAGCCGCCGGAATCGATGCGAACATGTGCCAACTAATCCAGAGCTATCTAACACAAAGATGGTTCACGGTGAAGATTGGTACATGCCATTCAACAAGACGTCAGCTGGAAGCAGGCGTGCCCCAGGGGTCAGCCTTAGCCCCCCTGCTCTACAACATCTATACTTACGATGTGCCGAAGACAGCTGACACAATGCTGGCCCTATATGCAGACGACACTGCTATAGCCGCCAAGCATAGACGACCCGAGATCATCCGTAGGAGACTACAGGGTGAACTGGACCAAATTCAGGACTGGTGCGTGAAATGGAAAATCCGCATCAACGTCCAGAAGACGCAGGCAATCTTCATTCAACGAAGAAGGATTGCAAGACCTCTCGAAGCATCCATCTTCGATGAAGATATCCAGTGGAGCGACAATGTCAAATATCTGGGGATCGTTTTTGACAAGTCCCTCACCTGGAAAGCGCACATAGAAGCTGTCATCGCAAAAACCAGAGCAGCCATGGCTCAACTCTATCCATTACTGGGTAGACACAGCCAGATGCCGCTAGCGACCAAGCTACGGCTGATCAAGGCCATCGCCAGACCTCAGCTCGCTTACGCCTCCGCGGTCTGGGGGTACGCTGCCCCCAGCTACCGCAAGCGACTTGCTGCTCTAGAGATGAAGCTACTCCGGATCGCCACCAATGCACCTTCCTACGTAAGGAACTCAACCTTGCGTAGAGACCTGCATTGGGATACCATCCACGAGTACATGAGGAAAAAAGCGGAGAAGACCTTCGAGAAAGCTCAGGACCACCCGAACGAGCAGCTACGATTCCTCATGGACTACGATCCGGACGAGAGGCCTCGCAACCGCAGAACCAGGTACCCCAGACCAAGGTCCCAGTTGGCACCCGCTAACTGGAACCTTGACTAGGAGACTAGGAGAATTTGCGGCTGCTCCCCCCCCCCCCCCACGGCGTGGATGCAGAGGACCAGGAACCACCGGGACCAGGACCCACCGGGACCAGGACCAACCAGGACCAGGACCCGCCACGACCAGGACCCACCAGGACCAGGACCCTTCAGGACCAGGACCAGGAACAACATATTGGTAAGAGGACTTGAAACTCTTGATTTTTCGAAAACAAGAGTTTCAAGAGAAACTAGCAGACCCTCTATCGATGATCACTTAACGACATCGATAGAATGTGCGAGGTAAAGGGAACCAACCCGGCGTTCCCAGAGACTGAAACACATGAGGAGACGTTGTAGCAGACCGCAGGTCACGCACAACACATGGCCTACCGAGACGCTGATGAGTCGGGCCACGCGGAGGTTTAGGGTTTAGTGGGTATTAGGTGATCTCTTCAAGACCCTGGAGCCCCACACACGTCGTAGCTCGTGCTATGGTATGGTGCGTAAATGCATTCCCCCCTCGTTAAAAAAAAAAAAAAAAAAAAAAAAAAGGCCTTGGACGGTGGAGCACCGCGTTTTCGCCTATGATTGTTTCGTCCGAAATAATGAGTCAGTCATCGTCGTACAGCGTGAGTTTCATCGCCACTTCAACATTCATCGGAATAGAGCTGTTCCCTCTCGAAACACCATCCTTCGTTGGGTTGAATCACTTTGCAGGCATGGTGAACTGATCAACAGAAGACCAAGAGGGGCG